TGAAAGAGTGGTGGAAGCAGACTTGATAACAACTTTCAAAAGAAAAGTGGATAGATATATGGGGAGGACAAGGCGATGGGGAGAGAGCAGGGGAGTGGGATTAATTTGGACAACTCTTTCAAGAGCTGGCATGGGCACAGTGGGCCTCCTTCTGTGCTGTATAATTCTATGGCTCTAATATCTGAAGGATGGATTGGAAATCCAGCAGTGCTTTACTGTTAGTTTCAGTGAGAATAAGAAAAGTATTTTAGGAGCAAAATAATAAGAGCAAGCAAAGCATTGAGTGACAGCAGCATTTGCATGTCTTTAACTCCTGCCTTAAAACCTTACCTAAAAGCAATGTGTTGCACATGTTCATTCAACTGTAGCCAGTCACATCTCCCTTCTCCTCTCCCCTGCTCAGTGTCCAGCTCCACCTTTGTAAAGTGCTCCGAGACATTATATAAATGCAGTTGTTTTGGAGAGAAATTTTTTTTTCATATTGTCGTATCTGAAAGTACTTTACAGCAGTCACTGTCGAGTGTAATAACTATTCTTTGTCCGCAAACGCAGCAGTCATTTGCGATAGCAAAGTCCCAAAATAGCCATGAGTAAATACCATGCAAAATTACATTTGTATAGCACCTTTCAAATCGGAAGAACATCCCAAGGCGCCGGGAGGTCAAGAATGACTGATCTTAAGGACTGTTGAGCAGTACTCCTTTCTCTTTACCAATAATTGGTGAGAGTTGTATAATATCTACATGAACAGACAGATGGGACCTCAGTTTAACATCTTGTCTGCAAAAAAGAAGTTGCACACAATCAAAAGAGATGATTCTCCCTTTTCATCTAGAGAAAACAAGAGGCATCGGCACTATGTAGTCCTCAATGCTGTTTGTCATTAAGACAGATGTTAAAGATGTCAGGATATAGGAATAGCATCAAACCCAACAATGACAGGAGGAAAGGAGTTAAGCAGCTCTGAGACTTTAGACTTTGTTGAGGTTCCCACAATATCAAAAATAATAACATAGATAACATAATAACATAACTCAAGTGCCTGATCTGATTAGGGGATGGGGGGGGGGGGGGGGGGCGGGGTAAGGGTATTTGTAGGTATCAAATGCGAGACCAATCTTGTTCTCACTAAACATATAGGCAGCGGGGGTCAATATATACTGCAGCAATCAGATGCTTCAAATTCCATCTAGTCTTGGCCTGGAAGATCATTTTGTCTTAAAATTTGAGACGGCACAGAATTGTGAAGAAAATCTTATGTTTAGTCTAAATTTAGAAGAAGGCCGTCCTTAAAAAGATCCAACTTCTGAGACTGAATTCAAGAATTTTCCCCAAATCTGTGATCATTACATTTTAAGACAATCTAGGTGAGATTTCGGACTTTTGGGTGCGGGAACTCTCATTGATTTTCCTCTCTAACCCAACAGATGCCTCTGCCATTTAGCACGACTGCTACCCTGGTTGAGATCAGCAAGTTCAGCATTGACCCTGGGGATCAAAGCTGAGAACCTGCTGGTGTGCATGGCTCAGGCCCACACCAGGAAAGGAAATACTAGAGGACCTCACCCCTCACACAAAATACTCTGTGCAGCAGCCAATCTTTCAGTCTTCATAGGAAAGGGTGAAACTCTGCTCCAGCCACAGCCAACAAGAGCTTGGCAACAATCACAGTCCAGGTTGGTTTTAGGGAGTGACCGAGGCTGGCTGGAACACACAGTAAATAACATGAGAACATTCCTGTTAAACACAACAGACCTGGCGCAACGAGGTGTCTGCATTCCAGGTAAACCCACATCATAGTTTCCAAAAAGGTGCAAAAATTTATAAAGGATGTGAAAACGGGCTAGAAACCCTGGGTCATCCTCAACAGAATCCCGAAGTTAGGTGGCAGATTTGCCTGCATTCCTTTCGTGTGTCAATAATTTACAATTAACTTATATCGACCCGTTTTCTGCAGAGAGAGGGATCATTTAGTGAGGGGTGATGGGTGTGAATACGTTATTGAACTAGGGGTGAAGAATGGAGTGGGGTCCTTCAACCAGCCATGAGGGTATGGTTCGGGTGAAAGTGGAGTTATTGAGCGAGGAATGAGGGATGGAATTATTGAGTGATCAAAGAGGATTGTGGTCTTTAATTGAGTAAAGTGTAGTTCTTTAGAATATCTGATAATAATGATCTTTGCATTTAATGCAACGTCTAAAGCATCAAAACTGAAAGTGCTTCATAAGGAATTGCTGTAAAGTATGTATTTGTAAGTGACGGCCAAAGCTATTTGCTCCAGTCAGAACCCCCGTAGTCATTGAAGTGAACGATCAATTTATCTGGAGGATTTCTGGACAAACACTAGGAGTAGCTTCTTCTTCAAATAGGATCCTATGGGGAGGGATGAGTGGATATCACTATTGAGAAAGATTAGACAGGTTATAGCTTTTCTCTCTGGAGATAAGGTAATTGGGAAGGGACTGATGGAGGTGTTGAAGGTTTTCAAAGGATTCATTAAGGTAATATTATTACCTTTAAATTTGTTGGTGAGTCCAATACCTGGCAACATAAATATAAGATAGCCAACAACAACAACTTGCATTTATATAGCGCCCTTCACACGGGGTAGCCAGTAGAGAATCTAAAAGGGAGTTTAGGAGGAACCTCTTCATGCTGAGAATGTGGAACTCACAGTTCAAAGCTGTGGCTGTGGTTGAAGCAGAAAGCATCCACATACTTTAGAGGAAATTTGATAAATAAATGAGTGAGAATATAATAGTGAGGTATGGGAGAAGGAGTTAGATGGGTGGAGGCTCATGTGGAGTATAAAGAGTAGTATGGACTAGTTGGTCAAATTGCTTATTTCCATGCTATAATTTTTTTATGATTCTATGTAAAGTGTGATGGGATCTTTAAATGCCCACTTGAAATGCAAACACATAGGACTTCAGATAATCATTTCATTTGAAGGATGGTAATAATATAATAATAATCCTTGCATTTAATATAGCGCTTCTCGCATCTTCTAGGGGTCTCAAAGCACTTCACAGAATATGCTATTGACCGTATATTTGTGGGCAAAACGCGGCAGCCAATTGTTCCACAAACAGTCGTGGATTGAAAATGACCAATTTATTATTGTTTTTTGTTGTGGAGGGACTATTATTAGACATGTGGAGTAAGGAAACTTGCCCAAGATTTCACACTGCCTGGAATTGAACTCAGGTCTCTCGCTTGCAAAGCGAGTGCTCTAACCACTGAGCTACAGACTTCACACTTGTGACAAAGCGTTGGAGTGTTGAGCCCAACATAGGGTCTTTACATTACATCATTTATGGACATTTTCTTGACATGAAATGACAGATAATGTTTGGCTGGAGGCTTAGAAAGCACACTTCACTCAAATAACACAAGACACTGAACTCATGTAAGAAGCAGATGAGATCCAATGCACTTAAGAGTCTTATTCATCTGTACCTCTCTTGCGACTTCCTCCCGACGTGAAAGGCAATGTAATTTTGTTGTTGTTGTGTTGATTCAGTGATGAAGTTACCATAACACAAAGGTTCGAAGAGATGAATTAGGCCGGCCAATTCAGAAATTTGGTTCCAACTTTTTTTGCAGAATATGCTCTAAGATTCTTGGTTGGTGTATGGCCCCTGGCTGGCATACCATTTCTAGTTGGCATATAATTCCTGTTTGGCAGTCTGCCCAGACAATTGAGTAATAATGGGAGGACACAGATGAAGAGAATTGAATGACCAAAGGCAGTATAGAACAGTTTCTCCAAACATCTTAGTCGCCCAGTCAATCAGTCAGCCCATCACAGAACTAAGTCAAATATCTCATCTCAATCAGGGCAGCAAGTGGGGTGTCTCTGTATCCAAGGGATAGGGTGTGGTGGGGGAAGAAGAGTAATCATCTCAATTTCCTTTGCCTGATGCCAATTCAGAGATTCAAGTGGAAGATGCGCGTGTCTACAGATCAGATGAGACAGGGTCTACAATGCTTTCCTTGATATAATGTGCTGACACTCACTATTGATTCATACATAAATGGTCACCAAGGTACTAGGAAGGGAAAAAAAAACTATTTACATAGAGGCTTTCTAATCAGAACATCTTAAAAATGCTTCACAGCTAACCAGACACACAAGCTCGGGGGCGCGGGTAATAGGATGGGATAACCGAAAGCACGGTTGAAGGAGGGGCTGAAACGAAAGGGCTGGAGATCCAGAGTGGGGCAGAGTGGCTAAACCTCACACAATGGTGGGGTGGATTGGTCTGGGAGGTCACTTTTAGCTGAGCAGAGGGAGAAGCTGGGTCAGTCAGACTGCAGATTGCCGAGGTAGGGCAAGGCCGTGGAAGGATTTGAATACAGGACCAGGATGAAATGTAAGGATTTATTTTTTGTTTCAAAATCGATCCGTCTTAGTCGCTGTTTGTCCCAATTTAAATTGCCTACTTACCTCATTGTTTGTGTGACATTGATGGCAGATTGGTTGTTTGCCTATATAACTTGCACTTTTAATTAACATAATCAGTATTGATCCTGGATCTATCCTACTGATGACTATCCTCCGGCGGGGGGGGGGGGGGGGGCTTTAATTGATAAGATGAGGCCGCAGGTGAGGAAGGTCCGACCCCAGGATTGGGTAGTTGTGGAGCACAGCCGGGGTGGAGATGCGGCTGACGAACACAGCTCTTAAAAGTTGAAGATGAACAAGTTTGAAAAGGTTTACGTGCAAGTAGTGAGAGGGGCCATCTCTTAACGTTCCAAGTTCTTGGAAAACAAACACAAGTCAAAAATTAAATGATACTGGGTCAGTCTTTTGCACGCTTTGTTTAGAGTGCATTCATTTCAGGACTTGAACAATCTGGAATATTCTTGGAATGTGAGATTCTATACTGTATCAGTTCATAATGTACATTGCAAGCTCTATGGTACACAGTCTCTTACTAAGAAATTTTGTGTACAAATCTTGTCTGTGGAAGAACCAGAATAAAGACGGAACCAAATTTTATTCTTAAATATGGTTTTTAATACTCTTCTCCATGTCTGTACATCACAACACCAAGTAACGCTGCTTGGGATCTTTCTGCAGAGGCTGTAGTGCATGAAAGCTGAGATCTACCCCCTTTCTGAATTCACATCAGTTCCATTTCGGAGAATACATTGGTCAAAGAAATACAAAACATTTTGGCATCATTTCCAAACTTAAATAGTAAACATTAAAACTACAAAAGGAGCTGCACTCATTGCAATGCATACTTCTTATTCCAAGCAGTGGGCTATCTGAAAATGTAAATATATATTCGTCTGGTCTATGTATCAAAATGGCCCCATTTACACAGATTGAGCAATGCAGTGTTGAAAGCATGGTCCGCGCCAGTTATCTTTTGGATAAGGCTGGGTTTGGAGAACGCAAGGGCATAGCCTATCCTTCAAGGAAATCAATAGGGTGGTCGGGGGTGGGGGGAAGAGAGGGAGTGGGGGGGGTGGGAGGAGGAAAAACGTTCTGCTCTAATCCTTCGAGTACTAAAAACCTTAAAGGCAAATACAAAAAGATTTGCAATCCTTATTTGTGAAGACTGTAAATATTCTTTACATTTCCCAAATTCTACTTTACAATATTGAGCAGTTAGATAGTCGCAGAAAAGCATTTCCAGATGGTATGGCCAAAAAGTGCATCTCAAAAAGCTGTAATCAGATTCAGGACTCAAAGAGTTAAAGCATCTCAGTGGTAAACAGAAACACAATTGGGGATTGAATTGACAACTTTCTACAGTGTATAACACTGTATTAAATAAAATATACATCCAAATTATGTGAAATGGACTTCAGAAACCATGCAAAAGGCAATCATGCTATGGAAGAGGAGTGAAACGTGATGAATGGTGTACATAGGAGTAGGACATACATACATCCCACAAGCGTGGGAAAGAGGTGACCAATTCTACATTGTGCTAGTTACAGTAACCCCCCAGCTAACCAGACTCCCAAGTATCCCGAATTCCAAATTAGGCAGGCCGGAAGATTCAGCCAAAAATCCACCCCCACTAATTCCAAACACCCGCCAGCCCACAAGATGCCCCCAGCTTGAAACTTTTGCCGAGGGCATCAACACAGCTGCATCGCATCAGTGGCGAGTACAGAACTATACAATATTTTGGTTTTTCTATTTCATTTAAAATTAATTTGATCCATTTTAAATGTTAGGAAGGATTTATTGTTACTTATTTTATATATTAGGATTAACACTTAGCTGGAAAATCCAGGTAACCAGACTGGATCTCCCCCCGATTAGTCCAGTTAGCCAGGGGAGGGAGGGATTTACTGTCAATTAACTGTGCTGCACAATCTGGAACAAAATCAGGTTCCATTGAGGGAGGCGTCCGTTGTCAGACCCCCAACAGTCACCCTGCCTAGGTAAAATAATACCATCACTTTGTATCATCAATCACCATGCTAACATCAATCAGTTTCTTGCCTAAAATATCTCGCTCTGCAGGTTAGTAGAAATGGGTTCAATTCCAACGCAGGTGCAGTAGTGCAAGAGGCGAGCAGTTACATCAGACGATATGCCCCTGTACATGCAGCATCAGTTTACATTCATTTGGCAAAAGCCCCCAATTAAGAAAGGAGTTCCACTCCACTTTCAACGGCCTTATGGAGATATATGGGTGATCAACGGAAAGTTGCTCATCTGTCCACATCAGTGATCTTGTACTACAGTTGTCCATCTACAGTTGTACTATTAAGCAACTGTTCCAGTAAAACCTAATTGCCAGGCTTTCTGTTCATATGGACACTTCCTCCCCTTGCACCAACACATTCCCAACTGTCAGGAATGCCAGATTCACTTTTCAGTCTTTGTACTTAGCATTGAAATCTCCCTGCAGTTTTAATATTCCCCTTCAAGTCATATGTACTTTGATTTGTTTTAAAAAAAATTCTACTTTCATATCAGCACTTATAAACAGCCCAACAATCTACTACCCGCCCTGATTGTTGGGAATAGAACGGGGGGTGGGGCATATGGAGTACATTTTGTCCCAACACAAACCCAAACCTCAACACAGAGTGATTGATCAATGCTGCGTTATACCTTTGTTGGATTTTGCAGCACTTTTCCCAAAACATACGTCAACCTTTAGTCGACAAGAGGCTGCATTTGGCAGCACGGTCTGAAGGGTAGTACCAACTCTGGTTCAGTTTTTACTATGACCCCAATATGGAGCAGGTCCTGGTTAACAAACAAAGTTGGGCCAAATCAAGACATCCTAAGTCCTAAGGTTAGAACTCACTTGCTCACACTCGTGCTGGCCGGTTAGCATGCCTAGCGAGAGTGGGAATTCAGGCGTCTAGTTGAAAGTATAACCCAAACTTGTGGGGGAATTACACCACCACTGGATATCTCCTGCACACAATGTAATAAGTGTACCGGTGACATGCAGAGGCAGCACAAGTACTGCTCAAACCTCTTTTTTAATTTAAAAAAATTGTAGAGGCAGCCTTTTTCCTCAGAAGGTGAAAAAGGCTTAAAAACTCCCACCCCTTGCTTATTAAAAAGTCACTAACTTTACATGTATGACTAAGGCTATATTTATTTCTCAAATACAGCCACAGCTCAAGTTGCCCATGTAAATGGGGTCATACACTGCAGTAGTTGCTCAAATTTATCTCCTCTATTTATTACAGTAGAAACTGGAGGTCTCCGGATGAAAATCGGGGGCTGCTCATATTCATCAGCTTGCAGAAATGAAGTTTGATAGCATTCCTTTTTATTATTTGCCTCTACATATGGAGGTAAAAAATCTCATTTTCATAAAATACAACAGCAACAAAAGTCCCATATTTTTAAGTAAAAATAAAAATGAAAATTTCTCAAAATATTAGTCCAATCTGGCATTGGGAACAGAGTTGGGTGTTGCTGTTGCACTGACACAATGACAAATCAAAGTGTGTTATTTTTTATTCACCATCTCCAATGTATTTAGAATATCAAGTTCTGGAAATGTCTGTTCTAAGGCAGGGATTTTTTTTCCATTGTGTTTTTCTCTCCTTGGGTTGGATGTGGGAGGGCTAGGCACATGTAGCCGGACCTAGTCCCGTCTACCTAGTAGTCGTCTAGGTCAAAAAAGTCTTCTTCATCTCCTTGGTATTCCATACCTTGAAAGTCCACCCGATATCGTAAGATACCTGTTGTGAAACAGCATTGCCATGTTAGGAGAGGCATTGTACATCTGTCGAGTTATACTTACTTAACGGGACTAGATTAGCTAATGTGAGTTCACTCTAGTTTAGAGGATGAATTGGTTCTAGGCTGGAGAAAACTCACAGAAATCTGAAATACACTTACAAATCACCCTTAGTCAACTTACATCTGTGTTCGCATGCTGCATGGTTCACACTCAATGAGCTGGGTCTGCTAAGTGCTTGGATGGCATTATAATAATAATCCTTGCATTTGATATAGCGCTTTTCACGTCGGGAGGACGTCCCAAAGCGCTTCACAGTACACACTGTAAAGTGAATTGACTGTATATTTGTGGGCAAACGCGGCAGCCAATTGCGCACAGCAATGTCCCACAAACAGTCGTAGATTGAAAATGACCAATTTAATTATTGTTTTGGGTTTTTGGAGGGATTATTATTAGGCGTGTGGAGTAAGGAAACTTGCCCAAGGTTTCGCCCTGCCTGGAATTGAACTCAGGTCTCTCACTTGCAAAGCGAGTGCTCTAACCACTGAGCTACAGGACTCCATTGTGCAGGAAAGGGCTTCATTGTTAATTATGGCTCCATAAAGGTTCCTCCAAGGCACCCTCCCACAGACCAGAAGCCTAGAGGTGTCAGTGCCAGGCTTTGCTGAATTAGCTGATCTCACTGCCCTTTACATTTGGGAATAGGAAAAAGGACAACCAGGTTTCCTGCTGGTATTTTGGGTGGCAGTCAGGTGTGGACAGCCTGATGTGATATCCCAATTATCAAATATTTTACCAAAATTCAAGGATTCAAGCTCACACAAGGATCTTGGACACCTGTAGAACAGTAGGAGCTCAAATTTCAAGACAAATAATGGCTCCAAAGGAAGGAAAGGATGCACATAGGTAAATACCCTGTGCTCAACCATTCTCCTTCCTGATTCTGTTACCACCACCTCCCTACCCCATCTCACGCTCAAGGTTGCTTCCCATACTCCAATTACCCAAGGCTAGGTTGGGTTATTCCCAGTTGTGGGTGTTTGGAGCCAGCAGGAATTTTCAGTTGTGCAAAGCATTCTGCCATTGTTTTTTTTCCCAGGACACTTGAAATGCAGCTTCTGGTTGTTTGGTTGGAAGCTCAGTGTCAGTAGCCCTGACTTCTCGCTTAAAGACAACCACCTACTATGAGGAAGTAAATTAGAGCACATTTCATGTAGCCTTTCAGGTTTACCAAGCTAACTGCTCATTGAATCTATTAATAATGTTACAATACCGAGTCACTGGACATAGTGATTGATAAGCATATTAGCATGAAAAACATTTTTTCCAAATAGACAAATACAAACCATCAAATGACTAGTTTAAGACTAAGCAAGCACCATTGAGTTCAAACTGAGCAATGCAACATTTCCTCCATCAACCTTCAAAGCATTGTTAAAAAGCCTAGTTATCTGATCATTAGTTTGTATTCATTGCTCCTATGTCTCTCGTGATCCATCAATCAGAATCTAAATCTTAAGTTGCATTAATACAAGAAGTGATGAGAAGCAAGTACCTAAACAAGTCACTCCTCTGAATGAAGTTCAATCATAATGTACAAAATGGAATAGCTATTTCCCAAACGTTATCTCTAAGAAATTCACAGCCTGATTGGTCGGTATCTGGCTTGCGCACACTCACACACACTCAACTACCTACCTCCTGGAACAGGTTAGTTCTGCAGCCTCCCACCCACACACAATCCAGTGATTTTGAACATAATGCAACACTTTCAAACAACATCAGGCGAGGAAAACAAAGGCAAAGTAAGGGTTAAGAAACAGAGCATGTGAAGGCTGAATTGGATTTGAAAAATTGGGAAGATTGTGGCTCACGCCATTCCTTGACACCGAATAGTCTCATCTAAACCTTCCACACACAAGTTATAATAAGTGTACCAAGACTTAAGAGGTGATCCAGATCTGAAGTGCTTCATCTTCAAGTTACTATTTTGGAACACAGCAGCAGCTATAGCTTGTTATCTTGAGCTAACAAAAAAGATTTGTTTACATAAAGCTGCATGTAACTATCTTGCTCCTTATATGTAGTAATGAGAAGAACTCTCCTCATTTTAACTCAAGCAGCACTAGTGTGTAAAGTAGTTCCACCTTGCCAGGGAGCATCATAATAGCCAAACTCTGTTTCCCAGCCCTCTAACCTCGTAGCCATGTATTTTTTGTTTTAACTTAAACAATTTATTTGGAAATCAAGAGTGGTGAAATTCTTTACGTTTTAGCAACAATTTTAGGTCAGCTTGGAGCACAGTAGCTTTAGGCTCTTAGCATTTAGTAGAAGCACAAAAACACACTGCTTCAGGTCAGTGCCATATAGATAGTTTGAAAAACAAATCTCCACATGTTGATTCAGAGTTAGTCAGTAAACTAGATCCAACTGCACCTGTTGAGTTGAATATCCTAACCTGTTTGGTAATGAGTCCCAGAGGACAAACTATTTCCTTCACTGACAAGATCTTTCGCTCAATCTGCATCAAAGAGCTGCTCACGTCAAATATTACTTTCGCAAGGAAAGGCCGCGAGACAATGGATACAAACTTAGAACGTCTGACCTGAACCCCACTATCCTGAGACAAGTAAAGCAAAACATAACCTTGCAGAAAGTTGGGAAGGAGGTGGAGAATCGCCCCATCTTCAGGACAAAGTCATGGTGGAATGTCCCATTAACATCTGAAATGCTCTCTCTCTCTCTATGCTGAAACAAAGATTTAAAAGCTCACAGGAATGCACAGACTCCAAAAAGATCTGAGACAGTTACACTCTCAAAAGCAGTCTCTGCACTTGAGCCCAAGTGTGCAAATGCAGAACATGATAGATAGGTGGAGGCACACTAAGGCATCAAGGGATCAAGTGCAGCTGAGAAAAATGGTACGCACTAGGAAATAAACCTTGTGTAAAACATCTGCACATCAGCACTGCTTGCAAATACTTCCATAAAGTCAAAACAAAAAGATGTTTCACCTTTTCATTGCCTAAATATTGATATTCTATCCACTGAATCTCATACAAAGATTCCCAATAGATGTCTCTGAAATGGTCCTGGACAGAGTTTAGAGGATAGACAGCCTATGGCAGAAGACTGAAACATTATTGAGTGGTTTTCTGAGCAAATGATTTGTAAGTGCCAAAACATTTTGCACCAAAACAAAAACCAACACAATTTAAATCTGAAGTGGCTTTTTCAAAAGCTCACTTAAGATGTGAATATATGGTTTTCCTTTGTTTTGTTGGGGTGAGAGTGGGTGGGAAAGCAGGGGAAAGAGAGACGTTACAGAGTTTTCAAACTACATAAGCTCTGAGACACTACTCTGCATAAATGGTGCTTTATAAATGTAAGTAGTTGTTTTTGTTCCAATGGAATCAAACCCCTGAAGCAAAAGTAGCTTACGTGAGATGCAAGAAAACTCTTACATTACTGAACAGCGAAAGGGGGAATTTTGTTTTCCAACCTGCATACATTTTTTCTGAAAGTATGAAGAATATTGGACCTACATCTACATTAAGCACCAAGGATGTGGAAATGTTTTAACAATAAACTGAAGAACGAGTACAGATCTTACATCAGATGTCTTCAGGAGTTGCAGTGACATCTGGGCCTTAGCTTGGTGTGCTTTGAACAAACGATTCCCTGAGCTAACGACAGTGCCTCGAGATGTCTTTCTGTTCCATTGAATAGGGCGGATGCAGAAAGATCAGTTTCTATGCACAGCGCCTGCTGCAAGACAACAGACACTCAAATCAAAACGGAGAGGGAGTAGCTTTCTACCTGCTGCCTGAAACTCGGGAAGCTTAAGTTTAGCTTTGTATACCTTTCTTTGATACAATCTGAAAACTGGATCAATATGGTTGCATTGTGATACAACTGCATATCAATGTTTCTACAGTGAAATGCACATCTTTCTAAAAGTGCTCAGGCATGATCCACCTGAAGTCTATCATCATCCATTCGATTTATAACCATGAAATTTGAAGGAAAAACAGACCTAATAACAATACGGTCCTGGTTAAGCTGAAGGATGATGCTGTTGGAACTTTGTGAGTAAGCTAAATTATAAAAATGAACTTGAAGTTAACCAAGAACAGAGGGCTTCAACAGTTTGTGAACAAACTAATAAACACCAGTTTTTCTGCCAAGTGTCTTCTGCCAAGAATGGGGGGAAAAAAAGTAATGGGGCATATCTGAAAAGGCTTTCTATATTGTAGGTCAGAGGATAACATTCAAAGCACAAAGTTTTTTCTTCTCTCCTCCTCTCCCCCAGTGGTATGAGTAATTCTGATTTCCAAATGATGGCTAAATCAATACTACAATACAAAATTACATTCGTAATTACATTTGTTAGCTATACATTTGTATAGCTAACAATACACAAGTTTTCAGACTTTGCTTTTCATAAATCTGTACAATTACACAAAGGTACAAATTTGTATCTTTCAGCTCAATTGTATACAAAATTAATTTACCGGTTTTATGTGTTTATGTAGAAACAAAAAGGGATTCTGTTCACTGCTGAGGAGTATTGGAAATAATGAAATGATTTGGATTTTCAGATCTGCTTTTTCAGTAATTAACAACTAGCCCAAGTATCTCCTACTGCACAGATCTATGATAACCTCATGGCTGGTCCATACTAGTAATCTCTTTATATTGAGTAAATGAATAGGCTCATTTACATTTATGGAACAAACAATCCATGGTATCAAAAAGGTTGAGAAACACGGCACTAGATATTCTTTATCATAATTGAAAGTTAGCCAGGGTGGCGTGAGCCCTGGCTCAATGCCCCAGTGTTTATTTTTAGTGCAATATTAGAAATGCTCTACCCACCTCGGACACATATCAAGATAACATAAAGCATTTCATAATCATTTAAATGTGTCAAAAATGCTTCACACATGACTTTGAAATATAATATTAATAATAATCCTTGCATTTGATAGATCACCTTATCACGTCGTTGAGACGTCTCAAAGCATTACACAGAATATACTGTAAAGTGACTATATATTTTGTGGGCGAAACAGGGCAGCTAATTGCAGACAGCAGTGTCCCTCAAACAGTCGTGGACTGAGTGACCAATTTTTAAAAAACATTGAAGGAGTTATTTATTACCCCCGGAAAAGCGATCCGTCAATCGACTAACAACAGGCTTCCTACGTACTGCTAGGTAAACACAGGCGTGTGGAGCAAGAAAACTTGCCCAGCGTTTCACCCTGCCGGGAATCAAATCCAGATCTCTCATTTGCGAGGCAAGTGCTCTAACTACTGGGCTACAGGACTCCTTGTTTGTATTGTGACTTATGTAGGCAAACAGCAGTTGATCTGTGCCAGCAGGTTCCACACACATCAATGAGATGAATGAGCAATTAATCGGGAGTCTTTGTATTGCAAGTATAAATTTGGGGAGAAACCATTCTTCCAAATTGTACCACAAGATCTTTAATTTCTACCAGGGAGCCCATTTCAATATCATCTGAAGTACGGCACCTCCAACAAAACAGCACTCCACCTCACACTATACTGGGATGTCAGCCTAGAATATTGGTTCATAGCCTAGTGGGGGACCTGAACTCACAACCTTTCACCCAGAAGACTGTCAAGTGAACCGGTCTGACATTGTGAACAAAGATGTGAAATGTCAGAGGAAAAAATGGTTTGGGGAGGATAGAATGCATTTCTATTATTTTGCAGTAACTGGGGTCAGCTCTTAAACTAGAAAATTATGTCCCAGTGCCAGCTACACCAATTGGCAAAAATTTGCGACACAACCCAAGACATTGCTTTGCTGTTACGTGGATTTGCTAGGTGAACATAAATCAATTACAACTCTCCCATTCCCTTTCCTGCCTAAAGCAACAGAAAGGTCCTTACCACCAATGCCACCAAAGCCCTTCACAAACTGAGATCCTTCTTGTGACTTGTCTGTGACAATTTCCAGCGTAGCTCCAAATTTTTTGTAGTTATTGGCAAACCATTCCAGGAGAGGCATACTTTCCACCATCTCGTGCTCTTGCCCAGTCTAAATCAGTTTATAAAAAAACACAAGCATTAAGACAACAGGGCAGGGACACTCATCTACAGTGGATACTGCAATTGCAGCTAGAAACTATTAATCAACAATAAATTACATTGTTTAGTGCCTCTCATGTCAGGAGGACATCCCAAAGCGCCAACTCCCGATACCTTGGTTCGACTCCTAAGGGTTCCAGAAAACACAATCTACTGATCTCATCCCTATGGAGTTCCATCAATTCACGGTCTTGAGCAAAAAACAGCTCGAGATTCTGACCCGCGACATAAAGTTAGGAAGTAAATTGCACTGTTTCAGAGCTCCGATATGCTACACCTTGTGAAGGGGGCGATAGAAATGCAAGTTGTTGTTGCACTGGAGAGCACAGTGCACACACACTTTCCATTGTTTGAGGGAGAACCAATCCAGACTATTCTGACACAACCAATCAGCTCATACAGAGGAGCGCTTTGGGAGAAGTTTGGGGAACGATTGCATGGTGTAAACATCCTCTTCTGTGAAGATCTGAGATCTTATACAGCAAGGATAAAGGGGGAATCAAAAGCTAAACAAAATACCTGCCATGAGCATGAAAAGTGAACCTGAACCCCCAAGAAACAGATGGATAATATTTTAGTTACAATTACTAGTCTTATGGTGGAAAGCTTCAAGCGTTCTCCTCCTCCCAATACTTTCCACCATTATAACCATTGCTGTAATACTAATGGACTCCGATGTTTGTTTATTTATTCAGGCATCAACAATTTCCAACCCAAAGGGATTTGCTGAATATACAGAACATTTAAGACATTTAAGACAGCTCATTTTGGACCCACTCTGAACATAACACGTCAACTGTACCTCTTTGTCTGTGAAGTGGGATTTATCCTTCTCCTGCTCAGGTGTTAGATACAGGATTTTCTCTTCTGAAAAATAAGAAAAATGCAATTGAAGAAAAGTCCCGTCACTTAACAGTTCCAATTTGCTGGCTATTTTACTTCCTAAGACCAGTTAACAGCCAACACTTTAATAGAAATGAAATAGATGTTCTGAATAACAAAATTTGATGGTGAAAGATCACCTACCCTCTGTGCCATGACAGCGCAGAACATATCGCATTATATCCAGATTTTCATAAACAATCAGAATCTCTACTGCCCCCATCTCCAGTGCTTTCAGCGTATCTTCTACTCCAAAACAGTACTTTCCCGTGTCCTGGCTGATTTCATCAAAGTATCGTCCTGAATTCAAAAGAATTGGGAAGCAAAAATTAAAAATTAATTTATGATTTTAAGCAGACATTCGATCATCAGGAGACAATCAGGAAGAGTTTTTTTAAAAAATGTATTACTCCTTTTTTCTCCTCCACTGAAATGTAGATCATGGATGGAGATATTATACATAGTTCTAGTAAAAGACTTAAAATGTTAGGGATATATTCACTCGAGTACTTCAGAAGAGAGTGTTCAAAGAAAGGGAGTAAGTTGATATTCAATCAACACTAAAGGAACACGAACTATGAAGATTTCATTTATCCTCAATACTAATCAAGAACATGTTGTACAAGTGGCTATTTGAAGGCAGGTTAAAAAAAACTATTGAAGAACATAAAAATAAGGTTTGGGAAAAGGGATTCAAAGCACATAGCTCAGTGGGGGAACTGGCACAATGGCTCTTTGTGAGCTGAAATGTCCATCGTTTCACACAATGAACTTGGAGACTACAACAATTTAGAAAATTGATGGAAATTTTCCATTCTCTCTCTCCACCCCACCATGTCTCAATTTTATTCCATTTCTTTTCAAAATATAATTTTTCACCCCAGTATTTTAGTAACGATAAAGCTCCATGAATTTAAAGAGGAATCCAATCAGAATTTTAATCATGCCACAGGTTTGGTGCCCATTTCAATTCTTAACTCATACTGAAAACTCTTTTGACTGCCGGCACAGAATAATTAGCCAAATTTTAATTTTATAGTATGTCTAACAATCTTTGCATTAAATATACAAAGTTTACATACTGTTTATTGGTAGCTTCCTTCCTTCACATAACATTGCTTACCCCCAACTCTACCTCTCTACCCAGGTTTTGAGACACTTGAGTTTCAAGCCCCTCCACCCAATGTCTATAACCTCTGACAACTCTACTGAACTGGCTGTTCCCTTCACTCAGCAAACACCCGACTGCTTCATATCCTCCACCCTATCCATCATCAGCCATTCTGCTCCCGGGTACCTTTGACTTGCCTCTCACCAATTTCAAAGAACCATCTCAAGATTCACCTCTTTATGACTTTGCTTTTGGTCATCTTTCCCCACATCCCTCCCGCCTTCCTCAGCTCCATCCCCAGCATGAGTGTCCAGCCAGCCATGTAGAGTTTTGAGATGTCCTCTGACGTGAAAGACACTACACTATATAAATGTAAATTGGATTGAAACACTGCTAAAGAAAAATTGACTAAAATGGTTTATGCATAACATTGTCACATTTCCCCATTGGACTTGAAAACTTTCCAATCCAGCTTGCGGACTCAAGTAAAGAATATTAATATTCAACAACAATTTACATTTATATAGCACCTTTTACAGTCAAACATCTCAAAAGAAATGCCTATCAGCTCTAGCACTTCATTCAAAATGTATCAAATTAAAATTGGAGTTTAGCAAAAGTTGATGTGTTGGCTGTAAATCAACATAGCAAAGTTTCACAAGCAATAAGAGGAGAAATTTATAACATTTTAGGACAAATCTTACCTATTAGTTTCTTTTCCTGTATGAACTTGACACTTGACAAGACTTCTGCTGAAAGCTCGATTGCTTGATTGAAACCATTTTCTCCCCCGTATGAGATATCCACCAATTTCAGCACTTTGCTCTGCAACCTCTGCGCACAAACAGACCCCAAAGAAACACGGTTTACATCAACAAAAGTTAATAATAATACTTGCATTTGATATAGCGTCTTATCAGGTCATTGAGATGTCACAAAGTGCTTCTCAGGATATACTGTGTGGTGGATTGTCTATATTTTGTGGGTGTAACATGGCAGTCAGTTGCATACAGCAACATCCCACAAACAGCCATGGAGTGAGTGACCAAATTTTATTTGGGGGATTGTTGGCTAGGACACCTGGAAACTCCCTTCTCTTTTCAAATAATACCATGGGATCTTTAATATCCACCTCTACGGGCAGATGGGACGTTGGTTTCATATCTCACCAGAACATCAAGATATTATAGCAGTATTATGGAAAAGATCATTTAAATTAGACAATTTAGAAAGCTGGTCAGTAAAATCTCAACATTTGAGAATCAACAAGGATATTCCCATTCCTATATCAAGCTGTTTATCAAATGAGTCCAGTATCCTGCCTATAACCATACTTCTCAGTAACCTGTTCCAGCTGTTAATCAACCTCTGTGTAAAAATACATCAACAACTTGCATTTATATTGTACCCTTCATGCAATGCAGGTAGAGTCTCAGAGTGCTATCCACGTGAAAGCTTCCTGAGGCTTACCTCTTGTCTCGATGACTTGGCATATCTGGAAGTATTGTTTTGGATTTACTTTATCCCACTTAGCAACTTAGAAACAACAACTTGAATTCACGTTTAATACATCTCAAAAAATCAAAGTGTTTTATAGAAGCTAGCGGTGGGGGTGAGGGAGGAAGATGACTCTCATAAGGACAGTGTGAGCAAGGTACAAAGTGGGAGAACAAAGGTCTGTTAAAGAAGTAGGTTTGTAGAAGGGAAGAAGGTGAGTTGGAAAGATTTTGTGAGTAAATTCCATAGAGCAGCAGGTGGCTGAAAGTTTGGCCGCGATGGTAGAGAGACATACTGCAGGTATGAATGTGGAGGCAGTGCGCATAAGAGTGGTGCTACAGGAAGGAGGGATTTGAAAATTAGAACGAGGTCAAATCTGCAGAGGGCAAGTTGAGAATAGGATGATGGGAACCCGTAGTACAGACAGTATATGGGTTGTGGAAGAGCTAGAGCTCATGTGATGGAGGAGAAAAGCAGTCTTAGTCACAGACAGGATACAGGGTTTAAAAGAGCTGAGTGTCACAAAATACCATAATTAGGTGCAACGTGAAGAAATTGGAGCTCACAGGATAGCTATGGCAGGGACTCAAATACATACACTACCTTGAAACAATTCCCAAATGCTGTTTTCACAGGCCTTGCAAACAAATACATGAGATTACAGGTGCACTTATCAACTGTCACTTGTTTGTTGATTCATTAGTCTTGCTTTTCCTTTCATGTCGTACTAGTTGTATCTTCCATGCTGACTCGCAGCAGAGGTCATAAGCCAAAAGAAAAATGTCGCATTTTGTGCGCAATTTAAGATAATGCAAGGGTTCTTGGGCTGTCATTTTTAAAATTGCATTGCACTGAGGTTTCAGCATGGACTTACCGGGTCAAACATGTCAGACTGACTGAGCTCAGTTTTGAAGTCAGCTGATCCGGCCAGAACCAAGCCGGCAACGTTCACCTTATCGCTGCTGATGAAAAGCTGCACGGCTGTCTCCGCCACTTTCCGCACGTAGTTGTGCCTCTTCTCCATTCTCAGACGAGCAAAACGCAATGCAGATTGTCCTCCTCTGCCTTCAAATGCAAGAGACTTGTTTTTAAAGCTCAACTAGAAAACACCCACAAAGAACTGACAGTGCAAGAAATATGAATCAAACTTTAGTCCTTTAAAGATCTAAGGGACAAATACAAATTGGAACAACAACAAAATTATATTTATAGAGCACCTTTCACGTTGTATGCATTCGATACGGTCGACCACGCTATCCTACTCCACCGCTTGTCCTCCCACCTCAACCTTCAAGGCACTGTCCTTGAGTGGTTTAGGTCGTACCTTTCTCACCGTCTTCACTTTGTCTCGACGAATGGCTTCTCCTCCACCCCCCGTACTGTCTCATGTGGAGTCCCTCAGGGCTCTGTCCTCGGTCCCCTCCTCTTCACCCTCTATATGCTCCCCCTCGGTGACATCATCCGCAGACATGGAGTTAACTTCCACATGTATGCGGATGACACCCAACTCTACCTTTCCTCCTCTACTCTCAACTCCACGACCACCGATGTCCTGACAGCTGCCTGTCCGACATCGAGTCCTGGACGAGAGACAACTTTCTTCAGCTCAACGTGCGAAAAACCGAGGCCCTCCTGATTGGCTCACGTCAGCGCCTCCGCACCTCAGGCGCTGACACCATCAGCATCCAAGGCTGCACTCTCCACCTCTCAAAGCCAGTCAGGAACCTCGGCGTTTTGTTCGACCCTGAGCTGTCCTTTCTCCCTCACATCCGCACCACAACTGGCACCGCCTTCCATCACCTCCGGAACATCGCCAGACTACGGCATTACCTCACCCCTCACGCTGCTGAAACCCTGGTCCACGCCTTTGTCACCTCAAGGCTGGACTATGGGAACTCTCTCCTCGCCGGCCTTCCCGCCACCTCCCTCCACACTGCAGGTCATTCAGAACTCTGCAGCTCGTGTACTGTCCCGCACCAGGCTTCGGGACCACATCACTCCCACCCTCGCTCGCCTCCACTGGCTCCCCATCCCCCAGAGGATTGATTTCAAGATCCTCATCCTCACCTACAAGGCCATTCACGGCCTTGCTCCCTCCTACCTCTCCAACCTACTATCCCCCTACCTACCTGCCCGTACCCTCCGTTCCTCTGGCTCCGGTCTGCTCCACGTCCCCCGCCCCAATCGCCCTACCATTGGTGGTCGGGCCTTCAGCCTCTCAGCCCCGAGGCTCTGGAACTCTATCCCCCAGTGCCTTCGCCGCTTCCTCCCTCTCCTCCTTCAAGGCCGGTCTCAAAACCTTTCTCTTTGACCGAGCCTTCAGCTCCCCTCTCGACTCTCTTCCCCCTTCTCGCTCCCTCCCATCCCTCCCCTCACCCTGACCATTTCCCCCCTCCTCGCTCCCTCCCCTCCCCTCACCCTGACCATTTCCCCCCTGCTCGGGTCATGACCCAACTGTGCAGCGCCTTGGGACGTCCTCCTGACGTGAAAGGCGCTTTATAAATGGAATCTTGTTGTTGTTGTCGGGAGGACATCCCAAAGCGCTGAATTACTATTCTGGTAGCATTAAATGTTTTCCCACTAAAGTGCATCGAATCAAAGCATCACCCTCAACTGAACATTAAAATGCATACCCACTGCACATCCCATCTGGCCTTAAACATGGATCGTATACAAGACAGCATTATAGTATAATCAACTAAATACAACACCACTCACCCTCCACAAAACACAAATGAGAGAGTTATGTCTTGTTTTTTTTTAAAAAAAAATAGCATTGAATGATTAACAGTTAAAATATTTGGCAATTTGAAGATGGTTTGAATGCATGTTTCTTCCAATGTGTTGCCACTTCAGCCTCAAAGAAGCCCCTCTCCAGAATCTACAGTGAGGCTCACTACACACAGTAGTACTGAGAGCATTAAGAGGTTCGACAGGCAAAGTATGTGTCTACTGGCTAAATCCTTGGTGTATCAATCTTGCAAACCGAGCACTTGATGCAAAACGGCATGGCCACAACTTGCAACATTACAGGAGTCTGTAAGGAAAACTATGGAACTATTTATTAATCAACAAGGGAAGCCTAAGCATTTAAAAAGTAGATCTGGAAAATCATCAGGATAAACGACAATCAAGTTAGCAGCACCCTTACAATCCACTAATTTACTCATAGAGCTTCATTTTCTTACCGTGCTTCTTTGGAAGATCCACTGTGAACTTGTGCAGTACTTCTCGCGTGTTTCCCTGGAGAGTGCCGAACAGTGCACCACTGCCATCGATAACAATGAATCCAAACTTGCTGTCATCCGACAAGAGAGCAGTCAAAGCCTTTGAAGGAAACAGCCAAAGTTAGCCACATCAACTCACAAATACTCAACAATCAAAGAATGTCAGGAGGAGGAAAATCATGACACTTTGGAAACTACTGAACTGTACTGGAGCATCAAGGATCAGGAAAGAATCTGATCTACTTGTGGATGATAATATTCCTTACTATTAGTATAGTGCCATTCACATTGGGAGGATGTCTCAAAGTGCTTCAATGGATATACTGCAAATTGCAGTGACTGTGTTTTGTGTTGTGTTTTGCTACCAACCAAGCCAGGCATTTCATTCCAGATACAGGAAAATTTCCATGTGTAGATAGCCCGGATGTGGAATTCTCAATGTAGTTTAAAAACTTGTAAGCATGGTGCTGGATTTCCATGCATATCAGCAACCTGGCTGACCCAAGTAAAACCTCTGCTAAGATGTCTTAGATTCCTGGATACTTCTCATTTGCCACACGTCTAAATTTGATATGTATGATCAGCAAGATCTTGATCTAGAAATTAATCCCTCTACATCCATTTCAAATCACAGCCAGATCTTTGGACACCACCACCAACAGCATATGGAATTGATTTAAACTGAAGCGCACCCTTCCTGAACTGTTTGGTTTAGCTTAACAAATGTAAAGCAATCAATTCACTTGAAATCTGTTCCTTTATGGATAGCCAAATATTCAATATAGCCTTTAAAAAGAGTATTTGATGAGCAAAATAGCTATTTGGCACATGACCGAAAGCAAGTACAGTACCAACTTAACTGAGCACAGATCTTTCAGGTTACTTACCTCTGTATGAAATTTGTTGTCACAGAGATATAGTGATGTGTTTATAGGTTTAAAGGGCTCAAAATCTATGTTAACTTTCTTTTCTTTGCCCTCTTCAGTTACAATTGTTCCACAGTAGACAACGAGACCATTAGGAGGTACTGAAAAACAAGCATGAAAAGCTCAGTATTCAAATTAAACAGCACTCCTGATTGCTCGCATCAAGCAAAAGACAAAGGCAAGTCAAACACTTTCTCTTCACTTTGTGAAGACTCAGTCAGATCGGGAGGAACAACATTTCCAGTTTTCATAAAAACAAGCCAAACACGAGGTTTGGAACAACCCCCAACCCCCCTCCCCCTCAGAGAAGTGAGCACCAAAAACAGTTGGTGCAGTTCCCACACAAGATTGGTCAAGAATATCATTGCATCCCCTAAACCAACAAGAGTTGGCATTCTTTGTTTCAGAATCGGGAACATAACCAACAACTGATAAAACACTTATTTAACATATAAATTTGAAAATTTTGAACTTCAGTAGTTTTGGTTACTTGTAAAGTTCTCTTTCATGCTTTCAAAAACTACTGTTCTGCTCTCCCCCCTTCCATCCCTATTTCCACATTTTGGTTCTGCTGGGCTTCTGACATCACTTTAGGCATCTTCCTGGCCTCATTTTTTAAAAATGAACAAAATTCACAATTAAAAGGCTCAGCTCCTCAGTAATATGATTAAATCATTTTGCTCTTCACAGGTTGGTTTCTGTTCTGTAGATTCTACACGTATTGCCTTTGAGGGTATGTAAGCATAAGCTGACACTCCACCATCTTACCGGGAGATTGCTACACTATGGAAGCTCCATTCTTCTGATGAGATGCTTAAGTAGATAGTAAAGATTCCATGACAGTAATGAAGGAAGCTTTGCCTGGTGACTAACATGATAAAATGCTACAAAAATATAGAACTTCTTCACAGCTACTGCAGCATCCTCCTCAACAGCTACTGCACCATTTCATTTAAGCTTGTATGGGATTTTGACCTTGATCTATGGCATGTTCAAGTTTCTCCAACTCACAAATTACCAAAATACATTAAAAATACAATAAGGTCAGATATCTCTACTGATTAGGACTGGACCTATTGTGGATATGAAACTAGTCCAGATATCAGGTTTGGGTATTCCACCTCCTTATCTGTCTGAGTTTGTGTGGATGAGAATTCCTCAGCCTCCAGCTCTGTGTGTATGCATGTCCATACATGTACTTGCCTGGATCACACCTCTTCACTACACGGTTTGGGTAAAATTGTGAATCTGATTACATCATCAGCCTGCACAGATTTCACAATTTTACCCCACAAAAAGTTTTCACCCCTATATCGGAGCTTAACTTAACTATGTGCAGTAACCAATGTTCAAGCAATCCAGGACACTAACCCACGCGAAGGGTGCTATATTAATCCAAGTTGTTGCTGTTCTTGACAATCTAGAAGGTGGTCATTTTTTTGTCAGTAAGTGATAATGATGGTTATGGTTCTGATGAACCTTTCTCAGACACTGGTTAGGCCTCATCTAGAGACTGTGTTCAATTCTGGGCACCCACTTTAGGAAGGAAGTCAAGGCACTGGAGAGGGTGCAAAGGAGAGTTACCGGGATGGTACCGGGAATGAGGGACTTCAGTTATCAGGAGAGGCTAGAGAAGCTAGGATTATTCTCCTTGGAGTGGAGAAGGTTAAGGGGAGACTTAATAGAAGTTTTCAAAATTATGAGGAAATTCAATAGGGTGAACAAGGAGAAACTATTTCCACTGGCAGGTGGGTCAGTAACCGAGGGCATCGATTTAAAATAGTTGTTGAAACAGAGGGGAGGTGAGGAGATTTTATATATATATAATATGTATACACACACACATACAGCGAGTTGTTCAGATCTGGAACGCATTGCCTGAAAGGTTGGTGGAAGCCAATTCAATAACAACTTTTAAGAGAGAATTATTTGGGGAGGACAAATTTGTAGTGCTATGGGGAGAGCGCGAGGGAGTGGGATTGAATTGGACAGCTCTTTTCAAAGACACGATTGGCCGAATGGCCTCCTTCTGCACTGTATGATTCTAAATGGTAATGCATTAATTTGTCACTGCAGCTGCCAAGTGCGCATGCGGTGACGGTTCAAGACTACATTTCCCACGATTCAATGCGCCTCGACCCTCATCGCATGCACACGCAGCAGCAAGCAATAGAATCACAGGAAATGAAGTTATTCTGCGCAGGAGGTGACCTCGATTCAATGCAGTCGGGAGGTAAGAGCACATGTGCCGACGGGTAAGGACGTCACTTCTCGTGATTCAATGCAGATGGTAAGTGCTGGAGTAACGAAGGATAGGGGAACGATGTTACATGTTAGGAGGTGATTAATACGAGTTGTGTAAAGAAATCAAAGTGGTCTTGATGAGAATCTGAATGAGGCTCGGGTGAATGCAAGACTAGGCGATTATAAGATTTCTAAAGATAAGACTTATGCTTAACCCTAGGGTTTTATTGTACATGTAATAGGTTCCCTTGTAGAAACTTTATGTGTGTACACTAGATTCATTACATACAAAAGGTAATCTTCAAAAAGACATGAGCAATGTGACTGAAAATAACATATTATGTTTCTAAGAACAGTTGCTGGAATTTGTGTCGACTGTGAAGCACTCTACAGCTCCATTTCGTTCCCCCCTTTCTTATATTTGTCATAAATACTTTTATAAAAATTAGAAAAATGCAAAGGCACATTTTCCAAGTTCATTTGCTCTAGCTGTTGTTAATTTTCTCTGGTTGCTGATCATTTTCAATCCAACATTTGACTTTGGGGAAGAAAGCAGCTACATTCTCAGTACAATGAGCCACTAAAGCAAAGTTATGCATGCATCAATTTCCCTTAAGTCTGAAAAATTCTCTCAAGTTTAGTCAAATAAAAACAAAGAACAATGACGAATAGAACCAATTTTTAAATAGACTTACTTACTAGAGGAGAGTCTGGCGTAAACGATCTATGTTTTGGTAAAAGCTCAAACATAACAAGCCAAATCAAACTATTTCTGTATATTCTAACTACATGTGGTGATATTAACTGCCAAAAACAATGATTACTAGTGCCTCCCTAGGAGGGGCCACACCTCAGATGTTAAAGGAAAGAGTATCCGAGGATGTAGGGTTTGTTCTCTGTTACATAATCTAATTCAAGCAACTTTAAACTCAAATTATTTCAATCTGAAGAGAATAGTCAAAGCACCTGGAGCTGGCAAGAATAGTGCAGTAACATGCCCAACAAAAACAAACTAAACCAGAGAAATTGATGCTTCATGGCAAAGAACCTTACCTTTATTGTATAGTTTAAGACGCTGCTGTACAGATGTAATGGCCCCCAGCACAGACAGGCGGTTCACTCGAGATTTGATGTTTGATGCTGTACCAAACTCATCTGCCAACATCTTGGCAACTCTTGAGATCTGGTCTTTGGGAGGAATGATGAGCGAAATCATACTGGTTCCATTCCTAAACAAAGAGGAATTGATTAGTAAATTTTCTGTGCTTCAAATAAATTACAGCTAGAAACTGTAAATACAAAGGGCTCCAGACACATTATTAACTAAAATTAAATTAAAGTATTGAAGCTCAGCAGCATGCACTGAGATTTTTTTTCAAGTTGGAAGGTGGAGTTGGCGATGGGACAAATAGTCAGGCCTGGTGTTTTGGGTGCACAGCTACTTATATGTAGATGAAGACATTATAGGAGAAAAGATTTTCAGTAAGGGGTAAATTTGGCTAAGCATATTCAACCAATATAGTAGCCAATTTGATTTTTTAAAAATTAAGTGATTGTATCAAGGTTTTATTGAAATATGGCCTAAAATGCAAGAATTCCAAATAATAATAATCCTTGTATTTGATATATCGCCTATCAGGTCTTCGAGATGTCTCAAAGCGCTTCAGAGTATACTGTAAAGTGAACAGACTGTAAATTTTGTGAGAGAAACTCAGCAGCCAACAGCAGCATCCCACAAATAGTCGTGGCATGTACAACTAGATCCAAGCACGTAAAAAGTCTTAGGGAAATCACATGCTTCTCGGTGAAAAAAATCCATTTGTGCATTAAAGCACCTCTTTTACAAGTCAATTCTCCTTTCATATTTATGAAGCTGTGAAAGTCTGCATTGTCCTATCTGCATTGGAGGGGGTTGGAAATCAACCTTATTGTGATTAGAGTATTGTGTGCGGTTTAGAATATAAACATTTTGTCCAGATTGCCTGTACACAGAACTGAATATTTTCACAAAAGAGATGGTGGGGTGGAAGGGGAAATCACACAATGAAGTGAATGTGTTCAATTTGATGACATCCTGCAGTCTCTCTGCCTTTCCCTCTCCATTCCCACTTCCAAAATCCGTCTTTGCGACCAAGCTTTCGCATCCCCCACCCCACAACCAGCAAAGTTCGGGCTCATAAATCAACTGTGTGATTTGAAGTGCTAGATTAAAAAAAAGTTGTTTACAGCAAGTGTGTTGCACTTAATTACAATATTACTTTAATGCTGTGCAAGATCAACACTCAAAATGCGTGTTTCAAAAACCATCTCTAGAGACCATTGTTCAAAATAACCACTTAATGTCAATCCCAAATCATACCACTCACTTAGATACATATGGCAATTCGGTTTGCGGCAAAAAACAGCAGAAAAAAATCACAATGAATTTCAATGCGGCAAATGTAAGCATTCATGCAAAGTGCAAAACTCAAAATTTGTTTTGCAGATAATTAAATTTCTCAGATGTATTCTTGCAGATGAATATTCCTTTTAATATATTAAAGCAGTAACATGTTTGAGACAATCTAGTTGAGTGATTGGATCTTTTTTTAAACAGGCACCCATTATAATATCATGCTACATGATATTATAATGGGTGCCTATTTAAAGAAAGATAGAAACACAGCAAAGTCATTCATATTGAAACACACCAGTTACTATGTTTAGTTGATTCACAGAAATAAATGCCAGTATAATGTCAAACATTTAGAATGCAACAAAAGTCAGAGGAAAGTCCATTACATTGCCAATCCACAGCGTGACACAGAACAGAGCTTCAAAACACAGCAGGTACCAGACTATCCCAAGTAACTTGCACTTCCAAATCTGGCATGTAAACACATTGGATGTCATCACGTCCAAGAGCGTTCATTAAATCAATGTTTCTTCATCAGTCTTGTTTACCGCGTAGTTCACTAAGTTTCAAATATTCAACTGTTAAAAAAATCATGAAATTGCTTCCTACATAAGCTTGCAGTAGGACCTTTACATTTGACCTGTTGGGATATTACATTTGGTCTCAGCAAACCACAAGCTGGGATGAAACATAATAGAACCAGGATCTTCGTTCTGAATCATATTAATCTAAAAACTATACAACTCTCAGACACCTCAAGCAATTTACTTTCCAAATAGCTACTCTGTATCTAAATTCCTCTTGAATTTCCTGACTCTTGAGTTTATTCCACATACCCTGTTGTAATATGGTAGCCAGTACAATCAAGAACAACCTGTGCATTGTGCACGTACACAGAAAGCCAACTGACTTTCATCAATGCTAAAACATGGCCGACTTCTGGGTCAGACATGTTTTGGGACAATTGCCATTACTTCCGGTCTCGGAAGCCGGAAGGTCAGTGTACCAGAAACCAATAGTGGCACCCTCTTTATAAGGAAACCAGCATCATGTGAAGTAGCTTCTAACACACTGGCGTTCAATAATGTACAGGTGTAGAGGGTTATTAAGGCTAATGGATTCAAGTAGGAGATAGACATGAGTTGGTAAATAGAAACATTGAGAGAAATGTGAAAACATCGGGGGAGGATTGGGGAGGAGGTAGTGCTACAGTGTAATTGATGCAGTTTGCCATTGGGCTGAAAACCCCTCTGTTCATTTATATGCTCCAAGTTCAGTTCATCAGTAATTTACCTCCTTATTTAAAAAAAACATGATCCAATTAAACAGCTGAAACAATGATATTTTTTAACAGAGCATATTTCTTATGATTTTAGCCACTCAACTTTCAAATAGTGTTATTCCAGAGGGGAGAAAAAAATGATTAAAAAATTTAGAAAACACACTTTATCTAACATCTATAAATTTAAATTGATGATCACACCATTTTTAGTCTAGTTTACGATCACAAGATTTCAAATAAGGAAGTGAGAAGCTCATGCACATTCTGAAAATGTTTAACACCTTGAAGGCCAGATTAGGAAGTCAATGTAAGAGGCTAATGCACATATACTTTTATAGAAATGCCTCCCAGTAGACACGTGTACATTTTCAACACATGCCTCATGCAAAGTAACAGATGAACCTTTAAAATAAAGCTCAAATGATGAACTTCCAGTATCTGGATTCTCAGCAGTTTTGCAATGTATGGAACATGAATACTTAAATCAGCAGCACTTTGGCCTCTGAATTAAAGGTTGTGGTTTCAAACCCCACAACAGGACTTGACTTCATGGTGCGGTGCTGGGGAAGAGTTACACTGCTGGAGGCAACGTTAAACGGAGATTTGTCTACCTGTTCAGGTGGATAATAATCCTTGCATTTGATATCGCACCTTATCACTTCTTCGAGACGTCTAAAGAGCTTCACAGAATATACTGTAAAGTGAATTGACTGTATATTTTCTGGGCGATACGTAGTAACCAATTCCGCACAGCAGGGTCCCATAAACAGTCGTGGATTGAAGTGACCATGTTAAAAATTCCATGACATTGTTTGTGAACAGACGGGCGTTTCTCTTGGTGTCCTGGCCAAATCCTCCAAATAAACTGTTCATTCAAAACCTCATGCCTGTTTATAGAAACTTTCTATGTATAAAACAGCTGCTATGCTTGACTACAAAAACAGTGACTGCAATCCACAGTAATTACTGTAAAACACTTTATATTCCAAGAGAGGTGCTATAAAAATGAATTCTCTCTTTTTCCTCAAGGGCAAATGCACATGGTATGTTTCAAACCCAGCTTAATGACTTAGATGAGGAAATAGAGCTTAACGTATCTAAATTCACAGACGATACAAAGCTAGGTTAGGAAAGTAAACTGGGAGGAGGACAGAAGGAGAATGCAAAGGGACATAGACAGGTTAAGTGAGTGGGCAAGAAGGTGGCAGATAGAGTATAATGTGGGGAAGTGTGAAGTTATTCACCTAGGTAGAAAAAAATAGAAAAGCAGATTATTTTCTAGAGCGGGAGAGACTAAATAGTGTTAGTATTCAGAGGGATTTAGGTGTCCTTGTATACCAATCACAGAAAGTTAGTTTGCAGGTACAGCAAGCAATTAGGAAGGCTAATAGCATGTTAGCATTTAGTGCAAAGGGATTAGAGTATAAGAGTAGGGAAGTCTTGCTGCAATTGTACAGGACCTTGGTGAGACCGCACCTGTAATATTGTGTGCAGTTTTGGTCTTCTTATCTAAGAAAGGATATACTCGCCTTAGAGGAGGTGCAACGTAGGTTCACTAGGTTAGTTCCTGGGATGAAGGGGTTGACCTACGAGGAGAGGTTGAGTAGACTAGGCCTATACTCTCTACAATATGGAAGAATTAGAGGTGAACGTATAGAAATCTAAAGATTCTTAAGGGTCTTGACAGGGTAGATAGTGTGAGACTTTTTCCCCTGTTTGGAGAATCTAAAACTAGGTGTCATAGTCTCAGGATTAAAAGTCAGCCCTTTAAAACTGAGTTGAGAAAACATTTCTTTACTCAGGGGGTAGTTAATTTATGTAATTCTCTACCCCAGAAGGCTGTGGATGCTCAGTCATTGAACATACTCAAGACTGAGATCGATAGATTTTTAAAAACTAAAAGGACTAAGGGATATGGGGATAGGGCAGGTAAATGGAATTAGGTTAGAAGATCAGCCACTATCTTATTAAATGGCGGAGTAGGCTCGAGGGGCCGAATGGCCTACTCCTGCTCCTATTTCTTATGTTCTTGTGAATCAACAATTCATCCTCTTGACCATCCTATTTTATACACTAAGTACATGCAGGATTTTTCTTTGTTTTGAGAAATGTGGCACAGGACAATTGGATAGACACAAACAGAAGCATAAAATCATAGGCTGTATTGATAGAAACAGACCATGCATCCCAACAAGTCTGCAATGGTAGTTTCTACAAATGAGCCATCTCATCTAATCCCACTCTCCTGCTCACTCCCCATTTATCATGCGCCCTTTTAAAAGAATTGATGGACTTTCATGTACCAACCACCCACTGAAAAGCTCCGACAGACCAGAACAAGAGCAATTAGTTTCAGTAGGCTAAAAGGGCTTTTCTCATTCTTGATGCTGTTTGTGTAAACTCAGCACTAATCAGATGTCCATTCAGTCTCTGCATGGATCCATATGCAGTATTACCATTGTCCACTTCATCCGACATTCGTTACATGCCAACACACAATTCCGCAATGCACTGAGGCAACCCATAATCATCTGTCAGACACATTCTCCTCA